CCCCTTTCAGCTATTTATGTCAAATGACACAAATTAGTGAGTACGAAATGGCTTTTCTTAATTTGGCCCTTAATAATCTAGTGCCTCCCCCGACAAAGGAAAGGGTCAGGCCTTTCCTTTTGGCACATTCCCATAAGTGTCGTAAATAAGAACACAGTGCCTTAAAACCGAGGTCAATTTGCGGTCCCTGAATGAATGAAGTCGGCAACATAACCGCCGCCAAATAGACCTCAGGTGCTGGTATTGAGGGGAGATGCAACAGGCAAACAATATGGCGCCAGGGCTTGGTAGAAGTTGTCGAGAATGAAAGAGCAACTATCATCAGTCAAATAAAATTCGTCCGCATGATACAACTCCGCGGACGACCACTGGATCTGGGGGTGCCAAATAACACCCCCCATCAGAGCGTTTCGAAATAATGAATGAACGTACGCGTTCAGTGAACGTCGTGTACGCTTCAGGGCGTGAGGGTAAGTTTGGCGGGGCAGTAACTAGGAATAAAAAAATGACAGTATGCGGCAGTGCTTCTCTGGTCAAATTGATGCACTGCCGTGCTAAAATACTCAATGAATGATTGTGTACAAGCCCAAGGTCGTTGGCGCCAAACTGCAGGATGATGACGTCAGGTAAGATCGGAACTGCCGACCACGCTTCCAACAGGAACTTTTGGAGAACTGTAACATCTGGAGTCTTCGCCGTCCCATCCAAAGGATATAGGCCAGCTGATTAAGACGCTCTCCCCAGGGCGATGACCCCGCCACCCGAGCACACAAGCACACAGAGCCGTCCCCAATGACCCACACAGTTGGCTTGCCAGGGGCCATTTCTCGCAAGAAAAATGAAAAGAAAATCGGAACAGAACACGAGCAAAGTACTTTAGCTAATACAACATGTAGCGGTCAATGGAAAATAGCTGGGGGAATCCAAATGTAACGTCGGTAACCCCCAGACTTCCAACGCCCCAAAATTTTAACATCATCCTCTGACCCACCTGCCATGGCCGCTGACGTAGCTGTGCCTATGTGAAAAGAATGAGAGGTAAATCTGGCGTCGTAAAGCCCTACACACTCAAGGGCACGACGGAGTACCGCGACAAACTGATAACGCGTGACAGGACCCCCATCGAAATGTGACAAAAACGGGCCATGGGGGGATGTGGAATAGGCAAGATAAGACAAAGTCGCCCAGACGGGCACATCATGTTGTGCCGGCTGTGCGCTGCTTGGATGGAACTACATAACCATGGCCATATTGATCTGTTTTCGAGTGACGTAGGATAAGTTTGACCCTTAAAGAGGAGTTCGAGGGAACGCGCGCACTCGGCATGACTAGCCCAACGAACAGGAAATTTTCCAGATAATGCACAATGTAAGGGATTCAGCCACCTTACGAGTACAGTACTCAAGGACAGTACTGAACCGCTCGAACGTAATACAGGATATAGTACAGCCCATAGGCATGCATTTATCGAAATAAAATTGGCCGTTATGGGAAAAACCAAGCAAATCAAAATCGCTTCGATGGACGGGAAGTAAACGAAAGGCCGACTTAATATCCGACTTTAGCCATAAGGACACCTGCAATCATAGTTATCGCCTCATCAAAACTCGTGTATGAAACGGTGGTGTCTGCGGGATCAATGAAATCATTCACCGATTTGCCGATAGGGGACGACAAATTATGGATTAACCGAAATTCACCCGGAGTCTGTTTGGGCACCAGGCCCATAGGTGAACAACGGAAATGAGGAAGAGGCTGGGGCAAAACGGGCCAGCAACGCGACCCAAAACAACTTCACGATTAATTTTTGACTGCAGAATGTTGGGATGTTTGCGAGCAAATGCAGAATTACGAGCAGAGGTACTAACCCTGGGACCTGAATAGCCTACCTGGAAACCGCGCAAAAGAACCTTCTTGCAAAATGTGGGAGTCCTGAGTATTAGGGTAAGCCCGTAAAGAAGGAAGCATACTACTTCGTTTTACCGGGGTTGGTGCCAGCTGCCGAAACCCGTGCTGTGACGCGAGACTGTGAGTTTCCCCGACAACGGGTTGCGGGGTGGCCAAATGCCCTGCAGGTAGAGCAGCGACGCGCAAAGCGACACAAGGGGCGATTGCACTGACCGCGGCTGAAGTCGTTACATGTAGGTTGACCAACCCCGGCGACTGGGCGCCGACCAGGCCCGAAATCGATCCGGGGGTTGGCGGCAGTGGAGGGGTCATGTAACTATCAATGTGCTTGGAGCTGAAGTTCCCGACACCAAGGGCGTGAAACTGGAAGAGGGTTGCGGGGCTAATTCAAAAGGAGTAGCAACAGGGGACTTACACAGCTCCAAAGTTTGCGCCAAACTCCCTCTAGGCCGACTGATGGTAGCGGGCGCTGGCGTTGCATGGGTAGCACTCACACTCTCTGGAATCATTCCGACAGCAGCCAACGGTATAATAGTGGTATCCGGACCGGGCGATGCATGCTGCGGTGCACTAGACCCTGCAAGGGCTCCGACCACCGACGCATCTTGACGGGAAGACTTGCGCGGCCGCCCCGAAGAACGCTTCGCTCCATCCATCGGCCCAGAAGGAGCCCGCAGCTTGGAATTGGCGCGGGGCATAGCTAACAAAATTGCTTTTGCAAAACAGACAGATATTCTCTTTCCAACCGAACTCCACGGTTGCTCAAGCAAAAGTGACCGGGAGTAACTCTCTCCAGAGCTACTAACATTTTAAGGTCACGCCAGTAACTAGTTCGAGGCATTAAATCACCGTGTCAGCAACCGCAAGTGAACACTACTGACTCACTTAGTGACAAGAGCCTCCAATGTCCCGCGGTGATAAATTATTTGAAGCTGCAATTTATTTTGCCTCAAATTGGTTATAGTAGGCAAGAGTGAATTGTACTGCGGATAAGTTTGCCTAAACATTTTATGGGGAAAAAATTCCCTAAAAAATACTTGTTTGAAGTCTCAAAAAGGCGACAAGCGCCGGGCGACGCACGACGGAAAATGGCATATATGGAACTGGAAAATTGCAGAATTCGCAACAAAAAGCAAAAAAGACGGACAACGGATGACGCGCGAATTTCATAGTGATAGCTTACCGTCTTTGTTATAAATAAAAGTAATTTGTTTAGAAAATTCCTGTGGATGACATTAAGAGGAAAGCAGTGATAAAGCATTTTGGTGACCTGAAGAAAAAAAACCCAGTGCATTAACAAAAAGTCGAGGAATACAAGAAATTAGGTGTATGATCATGCTGAAACAAATTATTGACGACTAGTTGTCACATAAAGGAAAGTGATTTTTCAAAGAGCGACAGCGGTAAGAAATACCACAAACCAGACAAACAATAACGATCTGACAATTCAACTGGATATTTCATGATTAAGAAATTTTAAACATATTTTAATTCTAAAAAGGCTTCAAAATACCAACACCAGGAATGAACTTTGAATTAAATGAATTGAACAGATGAAGTTNTTTTAAATGGAATAAAAAAATTGCAAACTGCTCAAAGCAAAACAAAAATAACAAAAATTATGAACAAAACCAAACAAGACTCAAACTATACAAAAATAACGATATTAAAATTTGGGTGGAATTCATTCCTTAAAATGAACTTAACCCACAGCCTGAAAACCGCGTGTTATAAACCAAACTGTACAGAATGCACGCATTTAAGCGAACCGAACATTTTGAACAAACTCCAGTTCAAGAAAAACTTGATATGGTGATACAAACGTCAACAATGAAAAGCATACAGAATAAGGCAAAATACTTCAACACATGCTGTGAAAATGCATGCCATGTGAATTAAAAGTTTGAGAGTGCCAGACCAAAAACCCTGGGGTCTTGGCAATTCGTAATACAATGTAGTAAATTGACAGAAATGGTGGGCACTCGGTAAATTTCCTTGTCAGGTAGCTCTTGAGGTCTCAGTTTCCATCATGTTTAACGTACATGTAGCTTCATCCTCAACACCACCACTCCCACACAAGTTAATATGGCACTCTGCAGGGACTGGAAATTCAAATCCTTATATAACCAACTACTAAACAAAAGGAGACTATTTAGAATAATCATGTTAGACATAAAAGGAATATCTCAGGCAGTTTAACTCCGATTCTGGTGGGTCTAGGCATGTAGGAAGGACACAGGAGTTACAACTCTGGCACTTCAAAGTGCTCGATGAGCATTGCCGCCAGGTTAGACAAACGAGTAAACATTCCAAAATTGCCTGATTACTGCTTGCAGCTTAGCCGTAGTGGGGCCAGTAATATCCTAAGAAAATTTGATGCGTTTTGTTTGCAGCTACCTGCAACTTATTGCCGTGGCCAGGAAACCTTCAACATTAGATCTACTTTTGCCATCGTAAATAAACTTTTTTATTTTGATACACGGTTCCATTATCCATGCAATGTTTGTAACTTTATTCTGTCTCTCCAAAGCATCAGTTTTCAAAGTTTTTGAACGAATTTGGCCAAGTCTGGCCAACAACATGTTGACCGCCACTGGACGGTTAAGTTCATAACAAGGAGTGATCATGAAATCTCATAAAATACCCTTTTGTACAAATGCCACAATAAAAATGATTCAAATAAAACCCAATTTCTTATAAACAACTTGGCTATTAATTCCCAAAATAAATCCAGAAGAAAGTGGTCACTGAGGGCAATGACTGCACATATAAATTTAGGGCACAAAGTGTAATGCAAGCAACTGTGCAAGCATAAAACTTGATGTTGTCATTCATGAGATCATGCCAAGCGCCAACAAATACATGACTATTCAATTTTCTACACCTCAGTGCACTAGTTTTAAGGATGTATATTACCAGCAACAAATAGCGGCGGTGATCACAGGGTACAAAGGGGTTTCGTGGTTGCAAAACAGATGGTGCTTAACAAGCGTTCGCTGCGCTCTGGCTATGGACATACCAGGCATGCCAGAAAGCTGTAATTGGCCAGATGTTACAGCCTGGGCAGTTCAAACTCCTGTGTCTTTCCTCTATGCCTAAACAGCACGTAAATTAAAGATAGGGAACCCTAGTGAACATGATGACTTCAAATATATATTTTTTTCAATAACAGCGATATGAAAGTTAAGGAATGCTACATGTACATATCTATAGAAAGGCAGAAAAACTCCAGAATGTATTTACTTATACGGAGAGAAATATCCAATCCTTCAAGGAGTGCTGGACCACTACACTGCTTGTTCAGGGGTGTTAATTTGTTAACGAAGGCAACGGGGTCCACAAAATATATTCGCAATAGAGGTCGTTCGGTATAGTGATTCTCGATTACCAATGCACAAGTTACATTTCACTAATGCTCATTTTCAGAAAATAAAGGGATACTCACCCAATGCATACAGTGTAGGTTGGCAAATAGTATCTGCTTAACCCTTTCCATGTAAATAAAAGTGGGGCAAAAAGCAGTTTAAATCTCAATTATCTTACATGTCAAATTTGCTTTAGGCATTACTTGACTCTCAGGGGCATGTAATACAGCAAGTGATTATTTCAAGTTACAAATGGTGACAAAGCTGTGAAGAAATATAGGTTCATAAACCTCCGACTCCAAGCTTCATGATTACGATCATTCCTTTATCCCTAACCCCATAGGGTGTATGTAAAAATCGAATTGAAATCAGAGGATTTGGGATTCTTACGGCTATATTATTGTCCACAGGCAAAAAAGAATGCTGTTCTGTAAAAAAAAAAGGAGACTGAATACAAATCTCAGGTGCCAATGCTTTAACTAACCAGTTGCCACTGTACTAATGGCCGGCGTTGTTGAAAGTCCGCTTCTGGTTCAGGTCACTGGCAAGGAACTTGTTGATGCCTGGTCGGGCCTTTATGCGTTCATAGTAGGCCTTCATGACTGGAAATGCCTCCAGACAAGCTGAGGCAGAAAGCCCCATCAAGGCATCCAGGAACTGAAATAGATGGTAATCTGCAAAGGATATCTGTGGAGGCAAAAAACGGACAAAAATTCCAAATTGGAAGCTTTTCCAGGAATGTGTAAGAGGTTTAAGTAGAGTGACCAGGAGTCCCACCTCTTGCCTCAAAGCAAGACCCTTTGCATAATAAACTGGCAGTTACAGGAAACATTAATACAGCAGTGAAGTAAAGCACTAATTTACACAGAGTAAAGTACATGTACTGCAATCAGTGAAATTTTGTTATTACTGTTACATTTGTCAGAAGCCTTTGTATGCTTAACTGCATTATCATTGTGCATTATCGGCACGGAAAGTGACAATAAAATGGATTCTGTAAAAGTCATTTCCTAACACCTGAAGAGAATATTTTGGTTCTTTCAAGGTAAAGGAGTTCCTCCAATTCAGAACGCTAACAAAATCTGAAGGTGATAGTAGTGCTGCTGGGCTGTAAGACAATCATGAATTGTGAAAAGGCATTTCATGAGAAACTGCAGTAGACTACTTACCTTGTCTCCAACAAGAAAACCTTCACCGTTCTTATTTGTCATCAGCAGTTTCTGGAAGAAAATGACATTTCCAAAGAGTACTGAGCCTCAAAAAATTGCCAACATGTCAAAGCTTTATGACTGAATTTACACTTAACTGAACAGCAGACTTTGTTTAATATTCAATCATACATTACACAAGGTTTTTATTGGGTAATGGGTATTGATTTCCTTCAGGGGAGGATTTCATAAAGCTGTTCTTCAGGTGCTATTTGGTACAGCATGAACAGTTTCAGAGACCACACAGCTAGCAAAATCAAATGTACAACACATATACAGTAGGTACCCTCACAGGTACAGGTATGTGCTGATCAGACTTCTTTTTCATTTTAGCCCATTTCCATCAGCCTCTTGAATACTTCAATAAGCTGACAACTTGGATATTTACATTAGACCTTGTGAACTGGAGAAAAGGACTTTGGGGCCCTGAAATTACCTGTAAAGTTGGAAGAATCACATTAGGAACCATCTCAGCAAGGAATTTTTCTTTTCTATTTGCCTGCAGAGAAAATAAAATACCAATGTACGTGTACGCAATAATGATGAATCTAATGCCAGACAAACTTCTCGGTAGAGGTGATATAGAATGCAGGGTAGGTGCATAGAATGCATTGTACTGGTCCACATGCTGATCTTGAACTGAGATGATAAAGTCAGAGAACAACCTCAATCAATTTAAATACTTAATGCATAAGTAGGCACATGACAAATTAAAACAAAAATGCCCCCCCCTTGCCTGTACATCTACGTTTTGCAGCAAACGGGTAAACGTGCTAAGTTGGAACATGATGCACGGTATTTCTTGCAGTACATGCTTTTCCAGCAAAGAGGAAAAATAAAGTCTATAAGTGTACTTACAAAGTTATCATACACCATACGAATATAACGTTGGTAGAAATCCTCAATTCCGTCATAAGCCATGTCAATCAAAGATGCCTCAGTGTCATTGGATCCATATGTACCTGTAGCAAAATATACAGCAGAGAAGAGGTCACCAAAAAATTCACTGAAATGCTCCTCGTGGGAAACATGAAAAAGGTGTGCTTTCAAAATAATAGAACTCTTGGGTAGTGCTGATGTCGTCAACGTTCAAGAAGTACGAGTGCCTTTCTACCAAGCGTTCCAGATTCATCAACAACTTGACCTTCCTCAAGCGCTGTCGCGATTCATGACCTTGTGCGCAACACCAAATCCCAAGACATCCTCAGGAAATCCAGGCTCATCTTGCACCGCCATTGCATCTCCTCCAGCAGATCCATGCTAGCCTCACTAGACAAACAGATCGCTACTAGACAAACAGATCACCGCCATTCCACCGTGAGCTAGCCACCACCACGTCTACTGAAGACTTCAACAAGGTCCAGCGACTAACCAAGACCAGTTGTCACCACACCTGCAGAAGAACCCGCCGCTGCCAAATCAAGAAGTTCAGGAACCTCCAATGCAAGAACACGGTGGGGAATTGGACAATGGGATCATCTATATCCCCACGTCCCGCACCCCACAATCTCAGTCCAAGACCGAAGCCAAAAGGATTTCCTATATCCTTAGGCCCTACGCACACCAAACCCCATCTCCGTTCACAAGCCGCTTTCACAAAACAAACAGTAGTCAACCTCAGTCAACGTAAGCTGACGGAAACTGAAACCAAGGTTCTCGCATTGTCTCTACCCAAGTCTCTGCCAGCAGAAGAAAAGAAGTGATCCAAGCTACTAGACCAGCCTTACACCATCTCGCAAAATCCATCGCTGATGACGTCTGTCTACAAGTAAGCCAAGCACTCAAGAACCACAAGCCTGCCAAGGCCAACATCTCAAGGCATGAGCAGTCGGCCCTCAACAAGCAACGTCGGGATGAGTCAATACACATCTTAACTGCTGACTAAGGCAATGCCACTGTCATCATGGACAGGTCTGACTACAACAGCAAGGTGTCGAACATCCCGTGGATTGGGCTCATATCGCCCCCTCCGCAAGGGTCAAACACCATCCATACAAAAGAGATTGAACAGCAAGCCTCTCGCCGTGCAGCGATCTGAAAACATTTCCATGACCCTGTACCGTCAGCTCTGTGCCTCAAGCTCCAGATGTCCCCGCTTCTTCGGTCAGCCCAAAATCCACAAACCTGACACCCCCCTACGTCCCATTGTGGCATCACGGGGAGGTCATACGTACAACGTCGCCAAGCACCTAGCCAAGATCCTGTACCCGCTGGTCGGCAACACGGAACACCCCATCAAGAATTTGGAGCAGTTCTCAAGTTTATCAGGCCTCGATCTTTACCGCCACAATTGGCCTTGTGCCCTTCCAAGTTGGCCGTAAGCCCTTCCAAAAAACTCCCATCACGCGACCACCTTTTCCAGCGTGCCCTTCCCCCTTTGCAGCCGGCTGTATGTGTCATGAGAGTGTACCATGTAAGCCAATGCATGAAGTGCGATTCCGAATTGGGGCGAGTTCAACCTTTTGGGCTGCGTTCGAGCGAGCTACTCGTGCTAAACCGAGTACTATCCCGAGTGCACGAACGGCAGGAGTACCGTCCTCCGGTCAGCCAGAGTATACTCCCCATCACAGAGAATCGGGAGTATACGCTTGACCCGAGTGTAATGCGCGCGTATCCACACTCGGGTTATCGGGAGTAACCGCGAGAACGCAGCCTTGGATATCATTATCAGCGCTGCACTGGTGAGCAGCGTATTTTGAATGCAAATTTGCACAACAAAGTCGGAAACCAGGCGAGCGCTTATTGTGTTAAGAATAAGTTTTGACCAATCGCTAGGCCTAGGCCTATTATCTCAAAATCATGCAGTCGCGATCGCACGATCGTATAAAGAAACGCTAAAAGGATGCTTTCTCACAGGAGGGCTCAAAGTGCCAGAAGCTTGAAAACCTGTTTTCCAGAAAAAGTAGGGATAAAGTATTTATAAACTTGTAAACTCCGGCAAAGTCGGCACTCAGTCTTGACTCGAAAAAATAAAGACTTCGAAATGCCGACATGCGCTACTTACTGACTTACGTGGCGTGCTGCCTTAATACCATCCATATATTTCATTGAAGCAGTTTAATTGCTTTGATCTGCCCTGGTTTATTTCATCTTCGTTGTCAATTCAGGTACGTTTGTCCTCGATTTTGATCATCGCTCCGTCTGTACGGAGGACGACCCGTGCATGCCGTTTGTACTGACATAATGCTAGCATGCACAGCACACATGTCATGCACAGGCGCGGCGCGTGTACAAGCGGGATCTTGGGGGCCGGCCGCCCGCAAGTAAAACTTCGTTCAATAGGGCGACCCCCAAAAAGGGACAGAGCCCATGCGCGTGTACTAGTGGGGGTACTGGTATTGATGCAAATATTGAGGACACCCTTTTGTCGTCGCGCACGTGCGCACGCAATGTACATGTACACTGTAAATGTGGGCCTACTCCACGTCAGTATCGACAACGAAGCTCCAGAAATCGGTTGTTTGTTTACAGCCCTCTTTATACCGAGGATTTTTTTGTGGTTTTACAGAAAAGGAACCGAGAAAACATGTCGACTTGAATGAAACGACGGCTTATAGAGGCCCACTTAAAAATTATCAATGGAAATGCATCAACACACGGTCGGTACTTTTATCAAAAGGCCGACTTAAGAGTTTTACGATGCCGACTTGACCAGGGTTTCCGTAACCATTTAGCAAACAGAAAACATTTTTAAAGGAAATACGAGGATAAACACTATTTCATATTTTAAACTTAGTTTAAGCGGGTTAGGAATACTTGAATTCTCACGGGAAAGGGATACAAAATCTAAGCAAGCATTAAATCAGAGGCTGGATTCGCAAGGAAAAAATCGTCTGGGTAATTGTAATTAACAAAAAAATGAACATTACAGTTTTGTACTTGGAATGTGACAAATAATAGCAGCATGATAAACGCCTTTTACTGAGACGGGATGGCATGGTGTACAAGAGCTGAATAGCTTATAGGCCTACTCATGACATGACTGGTTATCAAAAATGTGAATCAAAGGTTTCAAAATAGTTGGCCTTGGTGCCCCCTTGAGCTGGCCTGGTGCCCTGTTGACATTTGATGAAGGCAAGGCCAAAGTGGCCTGCCCCCTTTTTCCCCAAGATCGAGGCCTGAAGTTTATCCAAGACCTCATCCTGCAACCTAACGACATCATGGTCAGTTTTGACGTGGTGTCACTCTTCACCAACGTCCCAACTGCCGACTCCCCCACTGCCGACGCCTGCACCATCGCCCGAGAACGCCTAGACCAAGACCCATCACTCAAAGAGAGAGCAAAGCAACCAACCCAGATCCAAGACCTACTCGGCACCTGCCTGGCATCCACTGGCTTCCAGTGGCGAGACACAAGTTCTTCGAACAAACAAGCGGAACTTCCATGGAATCACCTATATCCCCGGTTCTTGCTGACATATTTATGGAACAGTTTGAACAAATAGCCATCGCCACAGCTGATTCCTGTCCAAGAGTCTGGATGGAGATACGTCGACGACACGTTCGTCATCTGGCCACACGGCCAGGAAAAGCTTGATGGTTTCTTCAAGCATCTCAACGGGTTCTGCTGTAAGATCCAGTTCACCATGGATCTGGAAAGAGATGGAACCATCTCCTTCCTGGATGTGGAGCTATCCAGACAATCTGATGGCACCCTCTCCCGCAAGGTTTACCGGAAACCAACCCACACAGACAGGTACCTCCATCAGCACTCCTTTCACCACCCCTAGATCACGAACTCGGTCAACACCACCCTCGTACGCCGTATACAACATGTGTGACCAGCGCAACCTGAACAACGAGCTCCACCACATCTCCACGGCACTCCAGCGGAACGGATTCAAGAAGAGCCAAGTCAAGACCCAGCAATTTACACCTCACCCCGACCGATGGGACCCCTCCACCCTAGGTCAACCCCACACACACCATAGTTCAGTCACCCTCCCATACATAGGTCCCACTTCCCACCAAATCCAGCACATCCTCCAGAGACAGGGTATCAGAGTGTTCCACACGACACCCAGCAAACCCCCTGCAACCACACAAGGACAAACAATCTTGTAAACCCAGCGTCTACAAGATCTCCTGTGAATGCCGTCAAGTGTACATCGGAGAGACAGTCAGGGATCTAACCACTAGACTCAACGAACACCGAGCACATGGACGACGGGGAGACTACGAGAAGTCATCCATTGTTAAACATTCACATGAAACAGACCATGCAATCAAGTGGCATGAAGCATATCTCATCGCCAGCATCGAGCAAAGGCATCCTCGACGTATCCGCAAGGCCAATGAAATCTTCAAGAACAAGACGGTCCCCCAAGACATCGGCTACAACATAAGTGTTATTTAGCGCCCCCCCCGTCCAACGTGTCCCCTATACCTACGGACTCCCAACCTTCAGTGCCACATGGGTCCCCTATACCTGGCACTCTCTCCAGCACCCCAACACGAGCCAGTGAGCAGCCACAGCAGCTCTCAACACAGTTCCTGCCTTCACGCCCCAGTACCCAGATAGCTTGGATTCCAATTGCCATGCCTCAGTGATCACCCACAGCATTTAAGCAGCAGCACAGTTAGATTGCATCAGTCCTGAAGACGGACAGGGCACTCACTGTCCGAAACGTCGAGTAACCGGTTCTTTTCAGAACCACGCATACTCAAAAGGATATTTTCCACATGGTGTATCCGGAAACCCTCTACATGTACCTGTTCGAACGAGTTCAAGCTGTTCACCCAAATTTTGCTTACATAATACATTTGAAAACTGTACTGTCTACTCTACCGGCATTCTATATAGCTGAATCTACACGTACAGAAATATAAAATATCAAAGTATATTAAACTAGTGCTCCATGTACATGTGGGTGCAAAGGTTCGGGTTCAGTTCAGACAGGGTTAAGTTTTTTATGCTGAACTTCGGTTCCGACAAGTACACATAATGCACATTGAAACACCACCTAGGCATAGGCCTAGATGGAACAAATAAAAACATTGACGTCAAGCAACCACATTACGGTGGGAGAATCCAACTTGCAAAGGCCTTATCAGCTACTTAGAGAAAACAAGTTTAATAAAGATATGACAAATAAATAATCCTGTTTCTCTCCGTCTTCACAAACACCTCAGAACAACTTTTTTTTCCCATTATAACGCTCAAGTTTACATGTTCTCCAAAGTTCACTTGCAACATGCATGTGAATCTGTTAATTTCACAAGTTCTCTTTGTTTTTGCTGTCACTGAGGTGAAAACACGAGCGGAAAGCACTGCTTCCCGCATGGAAAAGATTGCGTGATGGAGTGTGGCAGCCAGTCTATTCATCTCGTGGGGGCCGTATGTGTACGTGACCTCACACATCGGAAAAAAATCGACGATGAAAGATTTCTTCAAGTTAATTCACAGAACTCAGTGCCTTGTCTGTATGTTTTCTGTGTTCGTGAGTTTAATTTTAGGTTGTTTTTGCTAGTAGTTGAAGTGAGCATTTTTCCTCAAACTTTCCTGCCGTAGCGCGCCGAGGTTTATCCGCGCCCGGGCACTTGCATCTCGATGCATCGACAATTACCAGAACGATGTCTACAGACTTGTGTACCGCTTTGAAATAAACTTGAAGAGGATGAGAATTAAACCAAATGCTAGTCCAACCATATGTAATTCACCACGGACAACGCAGGCGACAATAATTTTGTGAATGCCATAGTTTTCTATACAGGCTTACATGTATAAACTCTTCTTTCGACCATTTTTTTGAAGAGGCTAGTGCTTGTAATACACTCGAACACAGACGGGGCGAAGTGGAAATAGGCGAAGTGGTTAGGGGCGACGTGGAAATGGGGCAAAGTGACTGCAAAGCAGTACGTGTGAACAACCACATGTGCCGAGTGCCGGTGCAGCACAACTCTTTATCTATTTTTCATTGTGTTTGCTTTTTTATCACGTTTTTCTTGCATGCATTCCTGGAGTTATCAATGTCTTGCCATATTGAAGTCGAATATCCGAACCGACCAGTTTAGTTCGGTTCGGTTCCAAAGTGCCATATTCGATGATTTTTGGTTTGGTTCGGTGGTTCGGCTGCAGCACTATCTTAAACATTTTGGTGCTGATATAGCTGTACATTGAGGACTCTAGAAGTGACACAATAGGCTTTGGTGATAAATGAACAAATCTTCATTAGCCTAAATACCTGAAACACATCAAAATATGTGCTCATAAAAAATGCCAGGAGAAAAAACCAAAAAACCAAGAGAACGTTTAAAAGTAACAATGACAAGTAATGACCAAAAACAGAGAGTATTATTGCATATATCCTTGAAGCCTCTACAGGTCCAAAATTTGGGATAAAAATCATTGCACATCAAGACAAAATCTAGAGAAGTCGCTCAAACAATAACTGCTTGGCATTAAATACATAATGGCAAATCTACATATCACCTCCTCCAAATTTACGCCAAATACAAGTATTACCTGTATTTGTTGTAAATTGAGGAGCGACAGGTGTCTACTTCGGTAGTATCATACTAATATCAGCCAGAAAGGGAGGTTGTTGTTACTGTGCTCAGAAAGCACACTCTCATTCGCAAATGTACTCCATGCGGAGAAAGACCAGTAATCAGGGTATTCCAGACATGCCAGAAAAAATCAACAGTGCAACATGTATTCAAAGCTGGCATGCCATCAGCCCTGAAGATTTACACAGCGCATACCAATATAGAGGGATTTCACATTAGCGCCGTCTGTGCATATCAGCATCGAAACCGAGGCTCTCTGTGTTAAACTTCGTCACGCGCGCCCGCTGAGTCGACACACTACATGCAGTAGTCCAACCATATGTAATTCACCACGGACAACGCAGGCGACAATAATTTTGTAAATGCCACAGTTTTCTATACAGGCTTACATGTATGAACTCCTCTTTCGACCATTTTTTGAAGAGGCTAGTGCTTGTAACACACTCGAGCACAGACGGGGCGAAGTGGAAATGAGGCGAAGTGGAGATGGGGCGATGGGGTATGTTTTAATGTTTAATAGTTTATAGTTTGTGATGTTTTAAACTTTGTAAATCATGTTCAATTCAGCTGACGCTGCGAGGCATGATTATTAATAAACCAATTTGAATGAATGAATGAATGAATGAAATGCAGTAACCGGTGCTTAAGGGTGACACCACTTCAGTTTAAACCACGCCCACTGCACATGCAGATACATGACCATCGTTGGTATGTTAGTTTGTGGTGAATTGCAGTTAATCTTTCTTTTGATTTGACATGTAGAGTCACCCTGAAAGACTCTTCCACAAAAATTTGCAGCCTGGAAAGTCTGAATTTAACATACATGTACTTTTATGTATTTGTGTCTTGACTCCTTACTTCAATCGTCTGATCGTATTAAGAATTGAACCTGACACATACAGCCTCGTTTTCAAATGCGGAAGTGCGCAGATCGATGTTAAAAGTGTCATATTGGGATCCCTCTATTGCACAAACTACACGTAGTAAACACATCCCTGGTGATTACATTCCAAACAGGCCCTTAAATGACCTTATTAAGCCCTACCATGTTTGCGACTCAGGTAGCGCAGTATGGCACCTGTCTGAACTAGTTGGAAATCACCATCCCAAAAAGCTGGCATCTGACCAAATGCCTGAAAGGAAACCACAATAAATCAAACCTTCAGCATGAAAAGTCTGCTGCCCGGCAAAGGACATAGTAAAGCAAAATGTTTGCATTATGAATTGTGTCAAAAACAAGACAAAAACAAAATGACATAAGGCACACAACAAGAAGTATTTTTACAAAAAGGGAGATCTTTGGATAGCACTTAGAAAGTAATGCATGAGCGGGCCCTATTCTACAGATGCTCCAGGCATCATGAGATGTCATCAGAGCTGTCGCAGCCAGCCGAAGGTGAGTTGGTACTGTTGATCTACACAGGGCTATTCAGTATTCTGGCATGAATACAACATTCCTGGTCAATGAAGGGACAGACTCATGGAATCTGTGGGACATTTTGACCAGTTGAACTGACATAGAGAGTGATGCAACATGAGAGAAAACGACCATGGAAAGCCATACATTGTACTCTGAAAAGCTTTGACTGATGTATATGGGAGCACTTGCAAATTCTGAATTGGAAATGCACAAGTGTAAATGATATGCTGCTTCTAAATGGGTTGACTTTGATGAAGATTTCTAAAAACTCAGCTTTCAAGGTTTGAGCCATTTGGCAAATGGATACACATGACAGCAATCTATAACGTGCACCTGAAGTCTGAATAGTTGGGATTAAAGGTAAAGTTAAGCTTGATGTCATCAGTGCACGAAAATGAATCTAAGCAATTTGTTGTATTTGAACAACGTTTACATCCTTTAAATGTAAACTTCTATATAGGGCAAATGTATATTTACACCAAAGCTGCTCCATATGTCCCAAGTTTCCTGTATATACATGCAAGGTGGTCATGATTCTTCAAACTACATGTACATGTAGTTTTCCTGCAGTGTTGAAATAATGCATGCACTTTTTAATCAAGAATGTGTGGCTTTAAGTTTAAAATCTTTCAAACTTCTGTAATGCACCCGAAATACATAAGGTAAAACCAGTTACATTTTATGTATGAAAAGGGAAGACTATACCAATACATGTAGACATACATTGTACAATCTAATCAAGTACCCGTAACTGGAAAAAGCAGTCTAAAAAGGATCGTTTTTACCAAATTCAGAGTGGGTTTCATAGCTGGCCAGTCTTTCTTGTCAATGACATCATCGGTGAATGCAATACCCTGGTCATGCAGCAGCAGTCGGATCAGCTGGGCCTTGCCTGACATACAAAGCCAGGTACGTGAAAAGTATGGTGGAAGAAAATGACAAAAAACTATTACTCCAAAACGTGCAAACATAAATGCCCTTCATGCCCTTACACATGTACCATAAAAATGAATTGACCAAGGTCACTCTGCCCCTACCAGGATTCGAACCCCTTACCCATGATCAGAAGCTACAACTTGAAAGCCTATCCACTTACATGTAGCCAGATGTCCCTATCAATCAGTTATTATCCTATTTCTGTTGGCATGATGGCATGACTGAGGTGTAAATAACGTCCAGCACTGAGACTAAACTGAAATTTCAAAGTCAAACCAAAAATGGCAAAACCACATGTAAAAGGTAAACAAGTACATGTGTACTGCTTCAAGTAGGTGGGCATGATTCTCCAAATAAGCCTTTTGCGAGTAAACTTGGGCCAAAATCTGAGACACTGAGTTCTTTAAATTCACATGAACATAACAAGTTGAATTCTCCATACTAAAACCACTGTTGCTATACCTCATGATTCGGGGCAAGCTTGTACTTAGTTGACACCTTGCAACAATACACTGTTCTCAATGGATAAGAAGAGCACAAAGGAACCAGTCCATTCCAGAGATGGTGGTCGCTATGCGAAGGCTTGCCCCAAATCACGAGGTATAGTAACAATGTCTTTAGTCCGGGGATTCAACTTGTTATGTTTATGTGCAATCAGATAACTCAGTGTAGTACCAGATTTCATTCAAATTTAATTCGCAAATGGTTTATTGGTTCTGAGAACTGTTCAGGTGAAAAGTACATGTAAACATGCATGTATAGGTAAGTTGTCCACACACATCAAAACATACCTTTAATGTTGAAATATAGCACTCTGTACTGTGACACTGCAAAAAACAAGTTTATGAGAGTCCAATTTCAATTCAATTTATTTCCTCCTAATCATGCTAATGGCAAAATATCAGAACTAACAGCGTATGAGATAACAGGCTTCTAGAGGTGGCAAAACTTAAAAGCAGTGCTTGTGGCAGGCATGCCATTTACAAGAAACAAACAAGACAATTTACAAAAGAAACAACAAAATACAAACACTTTAATTTCTGTTTGATCATGTTACACGATGTTGATTACATATATGTACAGTACATGTATGCCAAAGTTGACTTTTGCCAACTTAATGGCCAGAGGAGGTGTTGCCAAGGGATAATTATGACTGACATTACTGCGAAAGCAGTTTACTACCATGCACAAAAAAGAAATGTGTCCCCTTTAAATGAAACAGCAACCACCGTACATTCCCTATCGCTCAGCCTCTTTGACAGGCAGAAGCTTCATACAATACATGTAGGCCTGGTTTTAGGGTAGGCCCGACACCCCTTAGGAGTAGGGGGTGAAATATACATGTACCTGTACATGTATATTCTGTGTGACTCACAGTTGTGGGAGTACAATCCCCCTCCCCCCAAAAGAGGGACTCCCCCCCTCCCTTAGCAATAGTACACGTACCAGCACGCTGTATAGCTAACCTACTCCATACTTGTACCCCATGACCCCCAGAACTAACGTACGTGATCACTGATACGTTGTCTGTCATGTCTGTAGGGTTCGACTTCCGCCGCGCCCCTGCTGGCCATGGAAGCGCGGTGGACATCAATGCCACAGTTCTAGGGGTATGGCTGTAGCCTATAGGTACACTGGCACACACGAAAACGCAGTATTCATGGTGCTGGCGATAACATACTGTAGAAAAAACCTCGGAAACAAAATAAGGAGAAAGGCTTACTCTTAAGTGTTTGCGTCCAATGCGTGGTCCAGTCCTACTCCATCGAGCTCCTGCACCGGCCGGCACCATGTACATGTATGTACTGCTGTGTACCGTATGCACTCTACGTCATATCTTCACGTGTGTGTGCACGTGTGTATGCTGGGTCATTGGAGTTCAGCAATAGGCCTAATGAATAATTCATGTTTTTTGATCACCCATACCTATGTGAAGAAAATCCGCGGTTCATGTATTTTGACACTATAACTATAAGGGCCATTCGCAAAAAAAAAAATTCGAGATACTATCTCGCCGCGGGAAAAAAAATTCGAGGCTGGCAGGCTTGGCATGGCCGGCGGCAACGCTTACCACCTTTATCTAGTCTATAGGGGGCGCTGTCTTTGTTAACAGGGAATTCCCATGACGTACACATGTAGGCCGGTGATGAGCAACAATTCCATTCATTGTGTTTATTAATAAGTACTGAACGAGGAGATGGGATTGTCATTTTCATACAAGTGCATCATCTAACGAGTCGTGAGTTGACTTGAAAAGATCAACTTGTTTTGTTGTTCATTGGCCTTGTAAAGGAATAGGGCCCTATTAAAGTGAATGCTCGGTGCGTGCATCATGACCATGCATATGACCATGATGCAGCTTGCAAGTTACAGCTGTTTTACCATGGCCTAAGTTACATCATGGAGAAAATTTCTCCATGGTTACATCATGGAAGAAGGATGTCCCCTCTTCCTCCATGCTGACATGTAGTACACGAAGTTTACTAGTAGTAGGCCTAGTACTAGTCATGCTAGTAGGAGGCCAGGCAGTAGTAAGAAGTACATGTAGAAGACCCCTAGTCCTAGTACTTTGTGGTAGACTACATCAAATACCATTGTAATATTAATACTTGTCACGGTAACTGTGTCATCACGGACCATCTGGGATTCATGGTTTTTTTGGCATTAGAAATAAACCTTTTCGACATTTGCTGTGCATTATGGGTTTGGATGATAAACAAGCGATGCATTTTATGCACAACCTTATGGGGGAGATGAACCAGTCAGAAATCAATTTAAAGTTTTCTATATTTTTTACATTATCAGATTATACAAGAACCAGTTTCAAGTAAGTTTTTAAATGTTTGTAAGAAGAAGAATTCATCCTAAATTGTCTTTTTTAAAGGGCACACGACAGTCTATAGTCTGAAAATGAATGTGAGTGGTCACTACGGATCGATAAATGAGCTACAACAAGTCTTGAATTTGATTGGACAGTACCAGGCATTGGTATTCACGATCTTAGTCAAAGTAGTCCATGCCAGAAAGTGAGGTTGTTGGAAGGGATTCTCCCAATTTTCCTTTTCTTCCCAGCTTTAACTTCAAAGTTTGTAAATATCTTTGTCTCAAACCAATAATGCAACACTGTGTCAGAAGAAGATGGCTTGAAATGGAGCGTGAAATGAAATGGAGACAGATTAACGTTGTGCAGGTACACTTCTCCCATAGGGTTGTGCATAAAATGCATTGCATATTTGTCAAATCCTTAATGCATTGCAAACATTGAAAAGGTTTATTGTTCATTAGTTGCGACACCAATTAGGTCTATTACAGTAACTGGCCTAGCCCTTCATCAGCACTTTACATCCAGATAAGGATCTTAAAAACTAAATTGTATAAAAAGCAGTAGGCCTAAAAATGTCATTACTTTCTTTTAAATTCAAACTGGAAAGAGTTCCACATATGGACAACAGTTGCCCCTGTGCACAGACCTATGAAGTGTTTCTGAGTAACTTCAGAATTTCTCTAAGCTAAATTTCACTTTTTTGCACATGTCACTTTCTGATGGCTGTTATAACATTTTAACAACTTATTAACCCTCCTTTAGTTTTACAGCACAAATATGCTTAAGTGCCCAAGGTCACTCTCTTGCATGTTGGTGCAGTGCACAACACGACACAGCTGTGCTCCTTTGAGGTGTTTACCAAGTGACCCAAAGAGTGACTTCAGCATAGGAGGGTTAAGGGAAATTTAGTGTTGTCCGTGTATGGAACACCTTCCATTAAAATTTTTTATCAAACATGTTGAATTGGCTGTATGTCATTTTAACCATGATCATGATAATATATGCGACTTCCCAATTCCATAGTTATGGCATTGCACAATTATCATCACCAGTCTGTAATGGTTCAAGTTTCCACACTAGTATTGCGATAGTCCAATTGGTACACACACAGCTCTGCAAACCCACTAGCTTGCCGGGATTGAGTCCACTCTACATGTAAATGCAACTTTTTTTTTTCATTTTTTTCTTCCTTTAGTTTCTGTATCTTCTCAATCAGATTGCATATTTACTTTCTATGTGTTTTTTTCTTTGTGAAATTTTTGGTAGATTCATCCCAAGAAGCAAGATTTCGACTCTGCCTCCTTTACATTGATTAATTTAATTAATTATGGCAGCTCAAGAAGTACGTCGAGCATCTAAACCATCACATAATGGTGGGATGGTAAGTTTGTTGTGAATCTAAGGGATGTGGAGAGATCTAAGGTGGCGTCGTTGCTTAAATGAACAGAATTATCTGTGTTTACAAAACAGTTCAGTTTGTACAAAGAAGCAGCAAGAATAAATCATTCACGTGTCGTCAGCCATTGGCATAATATTAGATGAAATAATGTCTACATGAACATTAAAATCTCCCTGTTTTAAATACTGGCTAACAGTTTTACACTTTCAGCACTGAAAGCCGAGTGAATTTGTGGGGAAAAAAGTTCTAAACCACGATGGGGGAACTTCTTCATGTTTTCACAGCAGAGCCGAGGGAGAGGAAAGCGTTCAATGAGCCGGATCCAAGGAGGATGGGCCCCCGAAGTTCAGGTCCCAGGACGAGGCCAGACAAGAGGAAGGGGCGGAGGTGTCATGCCCAAGAGAGGGAGGGGGTACCCACCTCTAATGCAAGGCAACTTTCGTCCCGGCCCTGCACACCAGTCCCTAGAGCCCCCCAGCAACGACCCTCAGCCATATCCCCCTGGCCTGAATCCCAATGCGCCAGTTTTTGAACCAAAGAGTGGAGGTGGCTCTCATCACCACCAACAGACTTCAGATCAGGGGAACCCTGGACAAAATGCTTCCCAATGCTACATCGGTCAGCCGCAGGATTTGAGGCACCAGCGGTACGAGTATATCCCACCTGAAGAAGAAGTCAGCATCTCACAGGCTAAAAAACCAAGAAGAATAGAGTAAGGCTTCATCGATCATTTTTTGGCCGCACAGTGCACTTGAGAGTGATTTTGCTGAAAGTTGCCCGGTTCTGTAGCATTTAATTTTTTTTTTACATGAAGCCCTAATGTGTGTGGCTGCATCCAAATCCTGTTGTCTAGAGCTAGGTCTTGGTCTTCACTCCAGTGGAAATATGATGAGAAGCCCTGACAATAGACCTAGCTGCAGAAGCTGGTTTTAGACATGGCCTATATCCTGGATGGGATTAATCAGAGTTTATACAGCAAGGCTTTCTTCATGATTAAAAATAAACAGTCTTAGAAGTACATGTTCACTGTATCTCTGCCTGCCCTCTCTCCATTTTGAAAAAACTTTCTATCATTGGAATCTGGCAGCAAAATCGTTCTGTCATAGCTGAGCACATATTTCATTGGCCTCAAAAAACAATAACAAAACTGTACACACCTCACAAGAGTCCTGAGCAGTGACGAACTTTGTTGGTTAAGTTTGATATGTCTGCTACAACTTACATGCACATGTACGTGTACTTTTAATATATACACACTGCATGTACTGTACATATACTCTAATGGTGGGAATTTACGTTTAATTTGAAAAAGGAGGCATGTGGCCCAGTGGTTAGGGATTGTACATGTAGCTTCTGATCATAGGGTTAGGGGTTCGAATCCAGCTGGTGGCAGCATGTTGGGATCTTGGGTAACTTTACCCCTATGTGTCTCTCTTCACCCGGGAGTAAATGGCTTAAATGGTTACCTGTGAGGGCAGACACGGTTGTTTAGCCATTTGAGCCGAAATGGTAGTTCAGCCTAGTATACTCCCCAGGGAGCTGAGATGGTTTCAGGAATGTTCCGATGATGTGTGAGCCTAGTGTGCAGGGATAATGATAATACAGTGCCTTGGAATAGTTTGCTGGATAGAGGGCGCTTTACAAGTGGTTGTGAATTATTATTATTAAAATTATTTGTTATTCTTATTATTATTAAAAATGTTTAGAAAACTTTCTCATACCGTTTAAGTGTCATTGGAAACTTGAAACCCAACAAATTGCGTACAATGTAAATAGTTGACACAGAGTTCTGGAGATGAATTCATGGTATTCCTTTGAGTAGTAAAAAGTTCTTAAAATCAGATTACATGTAATGGGCATTGTTTGCAATAAAAATGAACACCAGATTTTGTCAATTAAAACGTCAAACCTCTAATTAACAGGGGGTTCTGTTTAAACGTTTGGGAAAATCTGTAAACAGATTTAGGACTTTTCTGTTTAAACATGTAAAGGTCCCACCCGTAATATATACCACTTGGAATAATTGGGGAGGTTACACCATGCAGGTTGTGCAAGACGCAATTGTATATAATTCATTTATGATCATAATTTTACAGGGTAGACGGGGAGCATACAATCAGTGAAGGACCGTCTGGCTTATCACAGTAAGTACATCTAGGCCCCCTAATTACTGATTTACTGTGGACAAATTACTTTTGGCATGATCTTTTCCTTCATCATTACATTTTTTGGTGTGTTTAAACACTGGACTTGCCCTTCTGAGACAAAAAATATTGGTGATAAAGGGGAAAGCAGCCAAATGCGTAGCTGGATAAGATATTTTTGTCGGTAGACAGCCAGTTCCGTGGGTGTTACGACTCCTGCCTTGGTAAAAGTTTTTGAGGCAAGTTTGGTAAATGTCAAAAAGTTAAAAAGGTAAACTGAACAATTTATGGCATTGTTTCATTGTTTTTTTAATTTTTCTTGGTGTTTCTCTGTTTCAGCATAGTGCTTTTTAAGAATTTTTTAAGCAAGGAGGAGGCTGATGAGGCTCTCTGCCAACTTGACGAGGAAATTGACTTCAAACAACAGATAAACAAAAACAGAGCAGGTGTGTATAGGTTATATGTGACTTTTCCAAAACACTGTGGTATGAATAGTTTCAATTCTCAGCAAATTACAATGTAGGAAGGAATTCATAGAGTGATAAGGAGGACAGCTCCATATTCCAAATACAATGTATGCCTTGGCATGCCAGGATACTGAGAGATAGGTGAGAGATACATTTTAAATCTACATCAATCTGTAGGGAAGATAAGAACCAAACCTGTACAATTGCTGCAGTACTAGCCTGCACAAAAATTGGAGCTTACCTGTTAATTAAACCACATGTACAAATGCTTACGCCCAAGGCGTAATCTCCTCTGGCTGTTTAAAAAAATTTGCGGTTCAAAAAAGGATTAAGTGGAAATCATGAAATGTGAATGCATGTTTGTCGCTTGTTTTTGTTTTGATTTGTAAATTTGAACAAAATGTAAAATGAGATCTTCTCAATTTGCTTGAATACCATAATTTACATGCTTTTAGCTGATTGTTTATTCCAAAGTCAAAATGGTCCAATCTTTCATACGAGAAGTTAGAACACTGTACTGTCCTGACTTGTTATTCATCAGTGTGACATATTGTCACATTTCCGCACTTGATGTTTCAGGACAGGACTACCTAGAGCCTCGCCTTGTTCGCTGGTATGGAGAGCACCCTTATGCATACTCTAAAGTCAGGATGGAAGCCAATGAAGAGGTAAGGACAACCGGAGGCAATCCTTACTCTTGTCAGCAGCAAGCCCTCGGAGCACATTTTGACCTGGGGTTATACTTGGTTGATACAGTATATGCTAATTATGATAACTAAAAGTATTAATATTTTACTATATTTACTAGCCCTCCATCCCAAAACCTTAAGGTGGCTCCCTTGTTGCTGTGGGCTTGCATGGCAGTGAGGACAGGTGTTTCATTTCATTTGCTGCCCAGAAAGCTGTGATGTACATGTAGTTCGAAAGTACCCTGTTTTTCTCATGGCATGAAAGTATGATGCAAGAAGAAAAGTAGTATGGAAAGATAAAGAAAAATGTCTGGGATCCGTAATTTAAGACTGTTTTGAAGAGCAGTTTTGCAATTTTTGACTGTTACACTAATGTGAAGATTTCAGTCTGCAGGTGTCTTTTACAAACCGTATATTTTTGCCTGTAATATCACTGGTATACATGTGACAACCTAAAATGTTAGAAGTTAGAACATCATGAATTTAAAGCCATTTTATCAGATTCTTTTGTGCATTGCATGCAGTGGCCTCCAACACTTCTACAATTGAAGATGAAAATAGAGCATGAAATGTCGATGACCTTCAACTCAGTGCTCTGCAACAAGTATCGGAGTGGCAAAGATGGGGTGGCTTGGCACAGTGATGATGAATACGGCCTGCGAGAACAACCAAAAATCGCATCTTTGTCACTTGGCCAGACAAGGATGTTTCAAATGCGCAAGAAACCTGCGAAGGTGAGCTCTTGTGTCTCGTTAAATTGCAGGTTTTTTAGATGAAAGAGTTTCTTGATTAATTTCAGCAGATGTGTTGCTCATGTTCATACATTTTTGCGTTATAGCCCTAGCAGTGGAAAGCAGCTTAATAGCCAGTGAAATGGCATTGGTCTGTGAACTTGTGGGGACTTTAATCAGTCATGAAAAAATCTTGGAAGTAAATTGTTGCTTGTTGGCATTATGTTCACATAGTTCTTTTGTTAAAGCGAGAACCAAGATGAAAAAAATTGAAGAAAGCACATTGACGTTGATTATTGAATACAATCGACAGTGTTTTCAAAATTTCAAAGGAACTTCCAGACGGACAAGTGCAGATGAAAAATATGTAATGTATATACGTGAGAGGCTTTGGCAAACATCTGTACATGTAGCCCTCATAGGACAATAATAACAGGGTGGTACCATACCATGCTGATGTGAAGGTAATCTCTACTCACTCAGTGCACCTCCATGTCATATACATGTACGTTTCCTTTGTACGCAGGCATTCATTTGTTTTTTGTGTGCTTAAGAAGAACAAAATCATTTAAATTACATTTAAAAATCTGCACTTTGAACACATTTTTTGAACATGATTGATTTGCTCTTTTCTTGAACGTTTCTCTTCATTTTTACAACAGATAACCCGAGCCCCAAAGTGCCTCTAAAATGCATTTTTCTGGAGATGAGAAACCATGTGTGGGCCTGAGCATATCCACACAATGTCTTCTCTCTATGCTCTCTGTGAAGGGACCACATTTATTCACAAGTCCACACAAGGAATGTCATACCTGTGTTGTCCAGCCAGTGATGCATTAATCAATCAAATTTGCCAGAATGTGCACACACATCAGAAATACCAGAATGCATGCAATGTCATGAATCTGTGTTCATATTGTATACAGCTGCCAGCTTGTCAATTGTATCTGTCAGTTGCTGTTTCAAGATTGTTTCCTTCAACAGGACTCAACGAACTCTCCTTTCGCTCTGATACATATGCACCTGTCGTACGTACATGTACAGTATTGGCATCCTATGCTAACCCCTTTGACGCATGACCTATCCTCAGTGTCACTAGTTTTGTCTCCTGCAGGGGTGCAACCCATATGATTACGATTATTCCGAAAGTGAGAAGTTGGAGATTCCTCTGACCCACGGAACCCTACTACTAATGACAGGATACACACAGGATGACTGGCAGGTAAGAGAATATCGCCTGGTTTTCAACGTGTCCAGCACCACCCCTTTACCACCCTCCTCAAAAATGAAAAACAGGTCAACAAACAAAAGGCTACCCGTTTACTGACAAAAATGTAAAGGAGGGGCGAGATTGCACCATTGACTTCTGTGTTTTTGTGTGGTTTCTCCCTCCCTTATCTCCTCGGCAATGTCACAGCATCAGATTCCCAAGGAGTACCATGAGAGAGAGATGCGCATCAATTTGACCTTCCGGACGATATACCCAGACGAGAGACACACAAGAGCAACCCCTTGTCTTAAAGGTAACAAGAAGACGCAGAATCAAACCAAGGCTGCAAGATAGATTCAAATTGCGGGATGCTGTTATCCTGTATCAGTTTTCAGAAGTGGTGTTGCTTTAGTGTCGTTTATTGATGCTTATTATACATGACACAGTATACTCTTTGCCTTCCTTTTGCCTGTGGAAAATTTATTTTACATAGCTGAAATCTTTTGTCAATTCTGATAAAAAAGCGATAAATACTCAGCCTTAGAAGCTTGTAATTTATGCTTACTGTAGATCTTTATATTTTAGCATGTGTGCAATATATTTTTGATGTGTACACGTACATCTGTGCTCATCAATTGAATTTGGATTTGAGGTGGAAATTAATATTTTCACAGCGCTGAGGATGGTACGTTTGATGAACACAAACATTTGTCATTTAGATGAGGCCATTACTAGCTAATTCATCTGCTTGTAAATCTATTATCCTGTGTGGGATCTTGCTATTTATGCCAAAGGCTTCCCTTCTGGAAACCATTTTACTGGGCTCTTCTTGGACTTTTCTTGTGTCTAATCTGCAGCACGGAGTAATACTGTACGCGTACATGTACACATTTTCAGTGGACAGAAAAACTGTCGTGTAAATTAGTAAACTGTATCATTATGGGCTCTGGAAAAACTTGTGAAGAAATTATTGTGCTTGATGAGAAACATACATTTTTATGCAAAAAGCTAGCGGTTATGCTTGTTTAGTTGAAAACTGGGTTTGTACATGTCCAGTCAACTTTGTGCATGTTGACCGTTACACAAACTTGACTTGTCTGAATTTTGGTTTTGAAGGAAGAGAAGTGCCATCAATACAATCAATACGTTCCCTTGAAGTATGACATACATTCAGGGATGAATTGTTTGCCCATCTATCCACTGTAAAGTGGTTTGAATGTTCATAAAACCCCCAAGTATGCAGTTGTATTCTGGTGGATTTTGTGGGCATGCGTTCAGAGTACATACAGTACAGTGACATTCTCTCCTTACGCAGCAGAGGCATTCTGGTGGCACAAGCTTAGCAAAAGTCCCTCTAACATGTCTAACATGACCATTCACCAAGGGTGGGTTGTGTTTGTGGTCAAATGTTGCATATTGCATTTATCTAAACACTCAGGCTCATTGGATGCTGTTACTGAAGATGACGTTTATGGTATGGTAAAGCAACATCATCCGTTGGGAGGAAAATGTCATGTGTGCTTATTACAGCTTCATGCAAGCTTGCTGCAGGGCATGTGCCGCCAATTTCTGTTGGAATGTACAGTCTTTGCATGCACGCCCAGACCTAAGATGAAATTTCCCCACCAGTCCAGCTCTTCTTCCCTGGTTAGGGGGTCTTTCAGAGTGGATAACTCTCTCTGTGGTTTTCACATACTCCAAAAGAAATTCTCAATATGAAAGCTAGAAGAGTTAAATTCACATTTTGAAGGCTCAAAAGGAACTTAAAACTGCAAGCACAGGGACGGGAATGTCTGTAGTGGTGTGGATTAGCCTCAGGATCTCACGTCAAATGCAAATTAAGGCTCCAATGGATGCATGTCAAGAGCCCCCACCCACAACCACCAGCCCCCCAAAATGGGATGATGAAAAACAGCTGGATAGGTTGGAGGGTAAATGGATGAAAATGGCTAATTCTAAGATAATCCCTTGGAAATGATCCCCCCCCCACACACACGTTTGATTTGTTACTCAGCTACATGTTTTGTTGAATGCTTTAACTGCCTTAAGTGCTTCCTGTTTTGTCTTGAAGTCTCTTGAGATGGATATATCATTTGCACTGACTGACTCTAACTCTTTGTTGCAAAAGAAATAAAATTTATTTTTGCATGTTACTAAAACAGCACCAGGGAAGTAACCTCCACCAGAAATGCCACGTGAAAAGACTTGTGGAATATGCTTTAAGTACATTGCCGTATAAAAAAATTAGATAAGTTTTACTTGGACTAAAATTTTCATCACCATTTATTTACTTAACTGCTTATTTCCTTGATTTATGTGTATAATTTTATGACCACGGCTTTGTAATCTGCATAAAAATTAACTTAGAGAAATGTCTCGTGCAAATTAAAGAATATCTACATAGTTATGGGCAAATATTAAGTTACATGTGTTCAATTTAAGTTACGATATAATGCCATAATGTACACGTGTCTATATTGTACCATACCAATCAAGCTATTAAACAGTAGTTTAACCCTTCACATACATTAGCACGTGTTGTTCATTTTGTAATAAAAGTTGGGTATTTTTCTTCCCATCTTTTTTGAACAGATCATATTAAAAACTGCTATGCGCGCTCCAAGTCCATACTAGGATATACCTCTGGATGTTTATCGTAACCGATTTCCTTTGACTCTCTGACTAAAAGGGTATTTCTGAATGGGCATAAATATGTGCTAAGCCGGTCTTTAAGACTGGCCCAGGAGAATGAACACTGATAATGCCCTTGCCTGCAGCTGGGGCATTAGTCACGTCCATTCTCATGAGCAGGTCCTAAATGCATGTTTAATACCAGCCAAGCCCATAATATTTATTTCCTTACTAAAATATACCTGTTTTGCAAAAAACAAAATTATGAATTAGTTACCTAAGAACCCAAAAGCAGTTGAATGAAATAACTACCCGTGCATAGGATACAGTACATGTATATATGTGCCTGTCTTTCTATTATCATCTTATTCGGTTGCATCTAAACCATGGCAGTACATGTATTTACATGTATGTTTATCCTAAACCTTCATGTACACATGTAAATTGCAGCTCTAGGTTCTAGTCAGAAACTTGGACCACTTTTCTTGCATCTGGAAGCTCTGCGTGGGGCTGCAAGAAAAGTCTAAAAGGCCTGACTGCAATGAACAAGCCCTGATCTGCTTTAACATTGCCTAGCTAACAAAAGTTTCCAGCTGGGCTGTTACAATTTTTTTTTCAAGGCTATGCATTTTATTATTAAAATTTATATGGTTGATTGTTACAAGTCAAAATAGATTTTTAAAAGTCCAAAAATTTGTAAAACAGTATGTAATGACAAGTTTTAAAAATCAGTTTTAATCACACAGGTTATGTATTGAACATGTAATATTGATAGTTCACATAACACCACATTACATGTATACCCCCATACCATGCATGCCCTAACCATAGAGTTTCATGAGCAATATACTAATCCAAGAGACCTTGGCCGTACCGTGTAATACCCAATAAATTGCACTTATTTGACAGGCACATATATGTAATAACTTAGTGCAAAATGAAACACCTGTAAACAGTACACTTACAATAATTTAACTACAGAACAAGAGTGCTTTACATGATTTCTTTAAAAAGCTTTCAACTACATTTACATGCACTTTTTACATGTAAAACTTTTGTTAAAACTCATACACAGCCTTTACGGTGTGTAACTCCTCTCAAACATTGTTAATATAATGCACTGAAAATAATCAGACCTGAATAAATTTTCTCAGAGTTAAACTTTAGTACTGAAGTAACAACCAATATTTTGGAAATTTTAACTGTTGGTTTTAAGGAATTTCTAGAAATGGTGTAATATCAGCAATACTTTGCTTGACTGCAGTTTAGTTATAAACCATAAATGAAGACTCAAAGTTAAGAAACAATGATAAAATGTGGGCATGGTGATCAGATAAATATTGGAGACATCTTTTGGGGTAACAGTAAACTTTGAGGAAAATCTGAAGATTTTATTGGTGAGCAACAGACCCTGAGATAGAGGGTACTTATCTGTTGCCTCTTTTACTTTTATACCAGTCGTTAACAATGAATTGGATTGAACCCTGGGAATGAAGTAGCTTCTTACTGGATGTCAGCATTTGCCTCCCTGTGTGAAACACTGAGAATGATGTGATAGGCACACAGTGGGGAAGATGCTGCTCCTTGGAGTCTCCATTGGCCAGTACACATGAGCCACTGGGAACAAGGTGGCAAGCAGGCTTGGGAGCGAGGCTGCTTCCTACTTGATGTCTCCGTTAGCTTCTCCTTGGGATGCACCCATGTGTTCCCCTTCCTCATCTTCAGTTTCACCGTCGTCATGGAGTTGATGATAACCTAATTCAGCACCACACTCCATAATCATCAGCACCCTAAAACGGGACAAAATCCAGCAATGGATCGAAGCTGTTGGTACATGGTACATGTAAGCAAGATTCTTATCCTCAACCATTCATATACAAAATCAAAATTTTTAATATTGCACATGAAGACACTCATTCAAACCTCTTTTAATGCTCACAAGAGGTCTTAGACTAAATTTTCACAACGTCTGATTTTTCAGAACGGTCAGCAACAATTGAGCTGCATTAACCCAACAGTCCCGACTTCTCCGCTTTGAGGATTCAGAAATGTTAACGTTAACTCTTCAACTGTATACTGGGCACAGGACAATTTGAAAGCGGCAAACAATACATGGCACAAGCTAAATTTCCGATGTTGACACTTATCCATGCGTACACCTTCCAACATTCAAAGAGAAGATTTTCCATAAGTTTTCCAGTGAGCAGTCTCTACAGTGTACCAATACATACCCAACAATGGCCATGGTGGAGACTGTCAAGCCTATCATGACAATGAAGACGGCCAGTGGGAATGTGTTCAGGGTTCCCTGATAGATAAGTCCCAGCAAGAATGGCCCAAGCAGATTGGCCAGACTCTCGGTGGTACCGGTCAAGGAGAACAGGGCACCTAGGCCAAACAAGCATGTCAATATTACCATTTCATCGATAAATGTGTACCAGAGGTAAAGTGCACACAGTCATGACAGTACAGTGCCTTTCAGCAAATTGTCAAATTTCTGTATTTGACTCTCAACCCAGTCCACATTTCGCTATGATGTATTATGATTTCAATGGAATTGTTATCTGCATGACCAGTATGTTTACTAAATGGTGATGGTGGATGGGGGGCGGAGGCAATGGGCGGGCCAATGCCCCCTTCCAATTGTTTCTTTTTGAAATATGAGAGAAAAACATTTAGTTGAATGCCTCCAAATAAAGCCTCACCCTTCCAATAAGCCATAAGAGGTTACAAAAAGAAATCTCAAACATTTTTGACCCCTCCCCGGCCCAAAAAGATGTTTCCCGGATCCGCCCTTGAATGGCTCATTATGCACCAAGCCTTAACTTGGAGCAACATGCTCAGTGCAGTTGCTGTAGCCCAATTAAGGTAACTACATGCTTCAACTGAAAGAGTAAGAATGCCTTAAGGGGCCACTCAAAATTTTTAATGTTTTTTAAATTTCAACTTGTTTTTCAAAATTGTTTTGACCCACTAACCCCCAATTTTGATTTAAAAAACTGATTTTTCATCTAGCACAACTTCAAGGTAGGTGCATTTGATATAAATTCAAATACATGTAAAAATCCATAATGCAACAAGATGATGGCTGGAATTGCAATGAAATGTGCAGGTGAAAGATACATGTACTTTAGTGACGTTTTATTTTTAATAATCAACTTTTGCTCTGACCAGAAACTCTGAAGATTTGCTGGTAGTGGTAGATTGCATGGTCTGTCCATGGCAGCAGCCATGTTGGTTTTTATGACCGCTATCGATTGCACACACAACAGCATGCTGTGTCCAATCCACTCAGAAATGAACCTCCTGAGCTACGGCTACCGCTATAGCCAACTGCGTCTCCACGCACATGCACATGTATTTCTATCAGAATGGAGACGTAGACCTAGTTCTAACCAACAGATTTGGATGCTGTTTGCTGCTGTCTAGTTAGTCTTGGATTCAAGGCGATGAACATTTTACAGTTATTAGCAACTGGTGTTCAATGTTCACTGTGCATACTGTTAGGTTTATATAATATGCCTGGTACCATGGGTACCCTGCTACATTTGTGTGGCCTACTGATCACCGCAGCAAGTGCCTAGCTTCAAAGTCTAAGAGTAAAACCCACCTCCTTCCATGACGTTTGACACATGCATAATAATGTACAGGCAAAGTCAACCTGTCTGTATATGGAAACCAAGTTGAAAAAGATTGCATTTTTGGATTACTGGTGCAGCGCGCACGCTGCATGTATTTCAGGCAAGTCAGAGAAATAAGTTTTTTCTGGATTTTAATCTCGATTTTAAATTTATTTCCTTGACCCACCCACCCATTATTTAAAAAATTAAGTTGTTAAAAAACATTGAAAATTTTGGGTGGCCCCTAAATGGTTCTGAAATCAAAGAAATGATTGTGTGCGAAATTCTTGGTACCTGCAGCTTAAAATCATTGTAAAACGGGGATTCTTTTTTTCCCAGTGAGTGGGACCCGATGATTTTTGTTTTCTTTATATGTGTTAAGAGTTGAAAATTTCTGTAGCAATTTTAAAAAAATACATCTTGTAAACCAGAATCTACATTTATACCAAGCAGTGAGTACCTTTAGCAAATACCTAAATATATTCACACAATCCGTGAAAATTGATGTAGGGAAGAGAAATTAATCTTATCAAGTAGCTTTTTAACCACTTGCTGCCGGGGAACCCTGTTTCAAGCACCATGGGTTTACATGCAGAGCCAGGGTGCTCAAAATGGGACAAAAGAGCTGGTCCGTGTAACAAAAGACCGTGCTCAGAACAAAAGACTTGCTGCTGGGAATTGCCATCATTTTTCGGCTTGTATTTTTTTAAGGTTATCCATCACTGTTCCTTAACAGTTTACAACTGTTTTACACATAGCACGCCCGCGGATTAGCACCGTGGACAAAAGTACTCCAGGGCCCCATTGATGAGCGACACAGCACTGCAGCATGCTAATCCAGCCGCGTTTGAAAATACGCCACTCGCATTCACTGGGGACAAACGAAATTACGCAACACCTCACAATTCTGGGCTCTGTTTACAGGGCAGCCGGCCCGCCTGAAATATTCAGGAGTCAATGAAGGTTGCCTGTCAGCTTAGAGTAGCCACCAAACAGTCATTTGTGTGGGTGGAAACGTCAATTAAATGAAATGAAGTTTTGAAGAATTTTGAAAACTGAAAATCTTGAAAATCGCCCATATGTGTGTACTGCATTTTTAAAAGCACCCAGTAACATGTGGTTAAAAAACATTGTTTCAATAGGAATACATGCAAGTACCTCCAGTTCTGTTCAAGCCATTTATTACTGCATGTTGAATCAACTGAGAAATTTCAGGCACCTATTCATGTAAACTGTGTATGCGTGTACATATACCTTGCAGTTTGGGCTCAATTACTTTGGACATCTTAGCCATGAGGATAGCAGGTGGCAGTGCATGTAGACATCCAACCACGTTCACTATTAAAAACAGAACAAAAGAACATTAAGAATCATGTGAATGTCACTTCTGCTACATGCACTGTCATCTAGATACAATAAGGGCGTTCAACAAACAGTGGGCTATAGTGTCCGAGTTGGTGTAGGAGATAATTTTGAAAATTCTGAAATGTAGCACACTCTTGGCCTGCTATCATCTTCCATGGAAGCCATAGGTTATAACTCACAAGGCGGCAAATTCTGAGGCAAATACTGTGGGAAAACATCAACTGGTGAGCTGACCTGAAAGGTCTCTAAGATTTAGAGTACAAATTATATGGTTTGAAAAATTCAAAATGCATTCACAGAGTTATTACAAAGGCACAAGTTGGTGCAAGGTGCAAGTCGTCTTCAATGAAACAAATTGCAAGGAGAGACCTGAGATAGCTGTTTCAATTACTCTAGATATATCATCACCACAACTGTGACTCACCGAGAAACATGCCATACGTGTCAGTGCTGATGCAGATGATGACAAGCATGCCCACTGTTGATAAGAGACCTAGTTGAATGACTGCGTAGTCCTTCAGGCACTTAGTAAGGTAGCGAGCCCCCAGCGTGAGGCCTGCAGAGGGAATCCATACACATAAAGTATATATCAAGTGTGGCAGAGCAAACCCCTGCATCAAAAAGTGAGCCCAATAGTCACATCTACTGTATTCTTATATTTTTTCCATCCGAATGGCTTTAAAGAGTTCTAATTTTTCTCAGCCCTTGATAAACACATCAGAGAACACAGCATGTCTTGGAAGTTAGAAGGTGTGCTGCTATTCTGCATTTGGGGGAATTTAATGCAAAAGTGGGAAACGGTCATCATTATTCAAAATTCAAAACAAAATGGCCTTTTTTCATAAATGAACATGGAAGTTGCATTTTTGGTGAAAAATCATTTCTTTCATTTATGAACCACACTACTCCAAAAAAGTTAAGGACCACTTTTTCTTAACATGTAATTTTTTCAAAGCATGAGGGGGTCTAGCTCTTTCATTTTTTTTTTTGTCTGGATGTTTTTTTTCATTGGAATAAAAAAAGTAAAAAAAATGATTTTCAGCAGTAAAATATCTCATCTAAAAAACAGTACACAAAAATAATAAGCGGTCCTTAACTTTCTTTGAGTAGTGTATGAATAGTATTGAGGATGATATAGAGTAATACTGTAGTATGTTTCGTGGGTGTGGGGGCAAAACCTGTACATTTCCCTGATGCAAAATACATTTGCTGCTGTTGAGTTTTCTCATCCACTGTCTACAGAAAGTAAAGATTCCTTCTGACGAACTCAACAAATTGACAACCCTAAAAACTAACAGCATTGTAAAAGGAAATTTAAGCCTAAAAAACAAAATACAAACAAAACAAAACGAAACAAAAATTACAAATGCAAACAAAATCTTACACTGACAAAATGAAAGATGGACATACCTAGTCCATTGATGAAAGGCTTTGATGCGTTGAAATAGCCGATTAGAACTGATGACCAACAGAAAGGCATGCTGAGAAGTCGTATGAAGAGAATACTGTTGATGGCACCAAATACTCCCATGGAAACAAACAGAACTGTGAGAGCCAATAGCAGCCACACTCGACGACCCTTCCCTGCAACGCCAAGGATGCCTGAAAGGCCCTTCCATACTGCAGACAGCTTGGAGGACCGTGGCTCTGCAAGGAGGGAATCATCCTCTGAAGACTTGGAATCAGCCCGTACAGTCTCAGGAACCCAAAAGATGAGATACAGCAAAATAGATGACAGCAGGGCAAAGGACAGCCAGAAAGGATCTGCGAAGCTGCCCCCTTTGATCCAATAACCGGCGCTGATGCTGGCTATGCCCGAACCGACAAGGGAAAGCGTGAATAGCAAGGCAAAAAGAAATGTGCGGTCTTTCTTGGCAGTTGTGTCTGCGACATAACTGGAGCAGCCACTGAAGAACAGCGGATATCCCCCAGTGAAGCTGAGAGCCACATTGGAAATGAGCAAGATGACCACAGGTAGATCAAGCAACGCTATCAGTAGGAAGACGACAGTGCCACATAGCATGCCCGCAACAGGCAACACGAGCGGCAGTTTACGCCCCACGCGGTCACTGGCAGCTGATATGATCAGAGTTACAAACAGGGCGGGGAACCCACCCGCAAACCCTGAAATGACATTAAAGCCATTCAGCTCAGCTGCTGCAGCTTTCTCTGCATCTGTTGGCTCACTCGTCTGGTTTGAACAGGCACCCCCTGACGCACTGGTGATGTTGAAGTTCTCGTAGATACGTTCCTGCACATACTGAATTGAGACACCATTGGTCAGCCCCATAGACACCATGACAAAAAGGAGTGCCGGCTCCACACTAACTCGCCGCAACCAGTCCATGTTCTTGAAACAGAAATTCTTAATCTTTGCTGGGCAGCTAGATTCCGACACAGTGACATCAAAATCATCATTTTGAGATCGTGAGGCTACCTGATCAGGAGCCTGCGGCACATCTTCCAATTGACCATAATGGCGGTCACGCACCTCACCACCAAAATCTGGTCCATGCATCCTTCCTACTTGTGAACCTAGATTGCTTGAGGTTTGAATTTACCAGCGAGCTCCCATTCACTGACTGTCCGAGCAAAATGACCGACAATGCCCATTAGATTTACATGTATGGTATATGTATGCACTCGTATACTATGCACGTCTGTACAAGAAGCACTAACAACTCAGGAAGGCAGTCACCACAGGTTGGCAGGGTACCAGGGCAATCTATCTGTGAAGAAGTAAATCAGAACAGTGCTCTGGTAAATAAATGTACACAAATTGTCAATTGCAGTTTGAATAAAAACCACGTAAATTGCAATGCTTTAAACCCTACCAGCTTCTCTCGATCATAACCCAAGACCAGTCAGCACTGTATGAGTCATGCCACTTTTACTGTATGTTCAAGAAACATATAAGTAACAAATAGTTGCTGGTACTCATACATGAACCAAAGCAGTCAATCTGACCAGAAAATAACTCACATCACATTTCTACCGTGATGTACGTGGACATCCAGTATGTACAAAGACATACATGTACATGTACAGTGCTGTGTCTGAATGGGGATAGTATGAAACAGGTAACAATTACATATACATGTACATGTGGGACAAGCCACAGGACTGACGGGAAGATCACTGTAAATTTATCCCAAGTAATATAGTTTGTAAAATATGGTGATTTTGAAGGGACACCAAAAATAGTGATCGAACACTGATGGCATCGATATTCACAGCTTACACATAATTCATCACTTTCCCAAACTTAGGAACACTGACACCAACAGTGACATTGTGATGGAGTTGTTTTGAGATGGGAGTGGAAAGACTTGGAGCAGGTGACTAGCATGACTTTGTCATACATGAATTTATTTTGTATTGCGGTTGACTGATTTGCAATTTGGTCAGGCCACGCAAACTCATTGAGTTGCCCATGTAAAGTTTAAATGTCTGCATATATTTGTTTCATATTTGTGGAGATAAACACAAGCTATTTCACCTATTTTGTGGCGACTCAAAATGTTGTGGAGACAGAGAAATGTCCCCATAACATAAGAACTTGGTCTTTATTTGCCTAATAAATTGAATTGTTTAAGATGGTGCAGGCCAACCCTACAGCGAAGCATACACGTCTTATCAAAGTGCATTCCTAACAGGGTACCAGTGCTTACACATCAGATAACACCATGAGTTCAATTGCCCTCAGATTCTACAGTAATGCACTGGTAGAACCCCAAAAAAATCACAACTCAGAGCTACAACAAATGATGAGCAAAAAACACACCATTGCTCTACGGTCACAGTACCACTTCAAGTGTTGCAAATATAGATTTTCATTCAATTTTTTCTTCATGTGAATGCCAAGCACAGGAGTGTACTGTACATGCATGTATCTGCCAGTGTTGTATTCGAAGATATCACAAGCCGCGGTCAGTCCATCACAAGTCATTCAGTCTTAAGCCAATTCATCAGCTATTTCAAATGAGCTGTGACAAAAGCATTCTTTTTGTCATTGTTCACCCTGTTACTTATGAGTTATGACTGGTCTTGTTAAGGGGACTTGTGACTGGTCTAGTGAAGGGACTTGTGACTGGTCAAGTGAAGGGACTTGTGACTGGTCAAGTGAAAGGACTTGTGACTGGTCTAGTGAAGGGACTTGTGACTGGTCAAGTGAAGGGACTTGTGAAAGGACTTGTAATGGACTCGAATACAACACTGGTATCTGACATGAATACCATTTTCGGGAACTTAGAAATTTGAACCTGACAAATCATCATCTGGTTATTTTGAATTTTTCAAAAAAACAAAAACCTCCAGAGCCATGGATCACAAGGAGTGAAATTTCCGCAAATCAACTGCAGATTCTGTAAAAACCAAAATAAATTTGATAATAATGCAACTTGTTGTGGGGTAGGAGAAACTTCATGTACAGGTACCTTAGAACCAGTTTACACTAACGTGACCGTTCAAAGGCTTGCTATGATATTCTGATGTTGTACCTAAATCGCTCAGCAAAGCACCCACTCCGTGAAAAATGGTAAATTTAACGGTATCAAATTTTATGCAAGCTGCATTTAAGAAATGCAGCCAGTTTTGGGCAAATTATAACATTTTCAAAAAAATAGAAGAGGATAAAAACCAGCCATTCCTTAAAACTGGAATTCAACAGCTTGCACTGCTGGTGCCTTGGAGGCTGTTCTTGGTCATAAATTTTAATGTACATGTAGCTGCACAAATCGTTTCCTCGCATCTATCCACCCATGCCTAGAGTAAATACAAAGCCCTTGCCCTACAAATGATATTTTGCTGGTACATGTACGGTATCTTTGGACCTCGTTGGGGGTTCAAGACCCATGAAGAGCATTTTGGACCATTTTTACCCCCAAAAGTTACAAAGTTACCCTATTTCACTTTTGGCTAAATTTTAACAATACATTCTCTGGACTTTTATTTTATTTCTCCCATCTTTGTGGCTCCCATGGAGAATATGTTACTTTTGGGGATAAAAGTCTGAAATTCTACTAGGTAACATGGGTCCCTATATCCAAAAAACACTCACTGCATGCTCAAACTTACGGTATCATTTGCCACTGCAAAATCAGCAAAAACATATTCCACAATGATTAACCAAGAATGACGTAATGTTGATGAATGTATATTCTCCATAAGTCCCTAATTTTGCCACCTACTGTCAAGTCTAATTGGTTTCTACAGTGCGTGATGGATTGCAGGTGTAAGGGACCTGGTGTCTACAACTTCAGGTACAACAAGGTCACACAACCATGACAACCAGAGGCAGAGACATGTCCAGCTACTTGATGAGTAATGATGGGGATGATGATAACGATCACTACCCAGATTAGTGATTTCCAGCAGCACTCCATTTTTACTTTTTTTTTTGAGAAGAGGTTGCCATATCACGTCCATAAAAAGAGAAACTTCAACACCTGTAACCTACATGTAACCATGGTAACTTCATACATACGATTATGGGCCTACGAGCAGTGACAAGTTGTCATGGCTTTGATCATACCCAGCATTTGTCCAGGCTAGCTGTAAAGTGTAGGGGATATGTACTGTACATGTATGTAGCCAGAGGGCGAGTACAACCAGTACTAGTAGGCAAGGCAATGTCAAATTCAAAATTCATCAAAACAGTAAGTAAACTCAAAAGCTGAGTTGATCCATGGTTAAACCTTCCCGTTTTTGAAATCACATTCTGAACTTCCAATTTACATGTATGTACAACCGGCTCACGTCACTTGCAGGCATTATTGATAAACTTAGCGCACGTACATAGACATGTACATACAGTACATGTATGTACAGTAAGCAAGTGGAATACGGAAGTTAGCGTTAAAAGGGAAGGGCGCCATCAAGTTAGTAGATATTGTAGCTTGTGTATTAATTAACGAAAGTCTTTTGCGGCTAGATCGGCTCCGAACGTCTTTAGCAAAAATCTTAATCTAGCACAATTCAACATTTAAATCTTCTTTATTTCTCGGGAAAAACGATAAAGCAAGAACAAATTAATAAAAAATCAGAGACAAAAAAGCTCCCAAAAGGACCGCCCAAAAGGGACAAATTGTCTGTCGAGCGGCTCTCCTAAAACACGGGTGCGCATGTTCACGAAAATAGAAATCAAAACTTCATAGGCTTCACTAGCCTATAACGTAAGTTTTAAAGCTTTTGAAGCATTTATCAAGCAGGCCTCGCTGCTTCTCAAGTAGAACAATGTCAGGTTTCTTCCGGTCACTCACTAGACAGTGATAGCTCTGAAAAGTCATAAATCATTCCTTATGCGGACGACACGATTTATTTGATTTGCCAACATCCATTGTGAGTTTTCAAATGTGATATGACAACCGAAGGCGTCACAAAATCTCCAGCAGTCAGACACAAAAACATGTTGCGGTATCATTGCATCATTCAAATATGCGACACAAAAACCAAAAATGCGACGGCGATCAAATGTGGGGCAAAGTCCAAAAATGCGACGCAAATCCATAAATTTAGCTTGGATCATCACACAGTCTTCATCTCCTTTTTAAACCGCTACGCAGCCTTCATCTCCTTTTTAAACCACTATCCCAGGACTGGTGGCGTAGTATCCGAAATTATGAGATACCCTATGGCACCGGAAAAAAAAACAAAAAAACAAAAAACAAAACAGATTACAGCTTATTCTCTCGCGGTATTTGGTTGCGATAATGATAAATCCCAGTACTGTAATCTCGAAGAATTTTATGACCATGATTGTAGAGAAAAAATTATGTTTCGTTGACATTTTGGTGCAGGGCAATCTGAAAATTCAATAGCATCTGTCAGAAGTGCATGTACATGTACCTCTACAAACTTTGCCGTACAGGCAGGAAATAAAATTCAGAACTCACAACAAAACTGAAGTCGTTGGAATCACAGAGTGAAAAAGTTTCGCTTTCAATGGGTATTTGAAAAAACGTCGAACTGGAAGCATTCACTAAATGCGCAATAGGGGCGGAGTCAGATGCTGAGGACACACAAAGGAGACTCGTCGTGGTCGTACATCTATACTCCTCATGGAATTAGGGGACAGGGAGAAAGCGCCTTCCGAAAAAAAAATTAATTAAAAAAGAGAAACTGACAAGAAAAGAAAACAGAAAATGAAAAAAGCGAGGAAAAGGCATGAAATCACCAGTACGCTTGACTTGAAAAAAAAAATGACTCAAAACTGACCTCCCTTCTTTACTATTGACGATTTATCAGTTTGTTGCTGATAATTCCTCCCCCTCCTCTCCGACAGTCTTTCCCTGTCCGCCTGGGAAAAGTGGTTTGCCTCTCTAGAAAAATCGACTGTTGCGATAACTTGTACCCGGAGAAGCTTACTGTACACACTACACTTGAGAAGAGACTAATGTGTGCATGCTCTTTTCATGAAAGTATGGGTGGGTCCATTCACACAAATGATAGCGATGAAACTGAGAGTGATGAATGTGTCCATGTTGAAAGTGTCATCGCTGAAAATATGAGTGATGTTATGACGATAAAGGAGGATGGTACAAGCATCGATAAAGTTATTTACTCACTCCCCATAATTGATGCCGCCCAGGTGCACAGTTGTCAACTACACTTGAAGAACCCCACAAGCTTAATGTGCTGTAGCTTCAGGTTGTGCCGGGAAGCTTGCTGTCACATTTGACATGGATCTCTGCCAAAGAGTTTTGAAGCTGGAATTATACCTGGACTCCCAATCTAAAGATAAGTGGGTAGTGTGTCCAGGAGCCTTCCATTCACCATGGTGTGCTCTCAGGTGTTTAGGAAAGACAGTGGAAGGTAGTGCATGGAATATGAGGTTTGGAGAGAGGCATTTGTACAGCTGTGTGGTAGTAAGTTAAATTGTCCATGGTGCACATTGCAGCAGGGCCCTTGAAGTTCATGGTAACCCTTCAGGTATTGTTTGACCTGTGGTTTGAAGCCCTTTTATGCAAAATATCCTGCTGTATGAAGTGCACTACAATACTGCAGTGTTGTGATGTTAGTAAATGCATGAGAAAGCAAAGAGGGTGTTCGGGAAGCCCACGTGGCATAAATTGTAACAATTGAAGCTCTTGACCTCTCAAGACAGCTTGCAGATATTGATGCTAAATACACAGCATACCAAGTTATCTTAATGGGCATGGGACAAATTATGGCACTAATACAGTTCCTGCGTGCAACTCGTCAGGGTAATTGGTTTCTACACCTGTCTGCTCTCGAAAAATTGTGTGTTTACCTCCTTGCATACGACAGGCTTATGTATGTTCAGCATGTTACCTCGCGCACATGCACCACTTGAAGTCCACTTAACCCGATATATGGCAGGAAATTCTGATGCCGAATTTTACAGCCAATACCTCCATGTCCCCTTTACTCGTCTTGGGGTTGCTCAGGAACACAGCAACAAGAACCTGAAAGGGCAAGGTGCATAACACAGCCTTCTGCCACGCTTTTGAAATTTTGCATACATGCTCCCGAGTTGACAAGGATTGCACGTGACATGATTGGGATGTCACATATGATAAGAACAGAGCACCATTGTCTCAATTCATCTACTGAAAAGACAAGAGCGAGCCACTGGACAGCTGCAGAAAGTTCTGGCCTCCTGTGATACTTTTACTTCCAGGAAGACCTACCTTTTCAACACGATAACAAAGGAGGTAATTCAAGAACCAGCAAGAGAAAGCACATTAATTATGTGTTGAATCACAGGGGTTGTTTTGAAAAAGAGATACAGATTAATGGATAAAATAAATAAATGCAAGATACTCCCATGGAATCCTGCTGCCGCCAAGTAGATCAAGCTGCGGGCCAAAGATATAGTGTAATAACGGTGCGTGCTACATCAGGCCTCATGTCAAGATCGCTGGT